ATACCAAATAACTGGTTCAGTTGATGACAGGTTCCGCTCTGGAAGACCAAGAAAGTCAACAAAATGGCAAGATCGGGCTCTCCAATGCATTGGCTGACAGGAAGCTCAGCTCACCTCAGGTTACAAGAATTTGGGGTGAAACATGTGATGTAAAAGTGTACACAAGCACAGTGCATCGCAGACTGCTTGCCAGAGGATTCAAAGGCTGCAAGGCTCGAAGTAAACCTTTGCTCACTACTCTTGTTGACGTGTGTGGGCCAAGAAGTATGCCAAATGGACCAACAAACAGTGGGCCAAGGTCATCTTCAGTGATGAGAGCAATTTCTACCTGACTGGAAATCAGTGCAATAAGTATGTCAGAAGATTTCCAGCTGAAGAATTTAGGCCGTACTGCCTGAATCTATCGTGAAGCATCCATTGCACGTGATGATCTGGGGCTGTATCATTGCTTCTGGTATTGGTCGGATACAAATCGTGCAGGGAATCATGAATTCCAAGCAATATGTTGAAGTCCTGGAAAAGTCCATGCTTCCTTCAGCTCAGCAACTTGTAGAGAAGGACTTTTATTTCCCGGATGACAACGCTCCCAGATTTGAACCCAATGGAGAACTTGTGGGCCAAGATAGTTTACAAAATAAGCAAGAAGCATCCGAAGACCAAGCAGGAGCTGATTGAATCCATTATTGCAGCCTGGCACCACACTGTCACCAAAGATCACGTGCAAAAGCATATACAGTCTATGCCGAAGCGATGCCGCCTGATGATAAGCAATTAGGGCTGGCCAATTTCATATTAGTAACCATATTTGGTTACCTAAATGGTCCTTTTCAGGGTCAAAAAACCATTAAAATGTTAACAAAACACTAGCATCGGCCTTAGTAATTGCAACACGTATGCCACCGGGTATGCATCAGTGAATCTGTTTTCTTAGTCATTGTAAACGGTTCACCGACAAATGTGTGCCCAACAAATGCGCGCCGACAAAACCGCCGCGACAAAACGGCGACGTTGAAAGCGCGTCCACTAAAGCGCGTCGACAAATGCGCGCTGACAAAAGTGCGCCATCAAAAACGTGAAAACAACAGTAACAACGTTAACAACCCTAATCCTAACCCTTACCCTAATCCTTATCCTAACCCTAACCCTAACCTAAAAACCCTAATTGCGCTTTTGTGGGCGCAGTTTTGTCGGTGCGCTTTAGTGGGCGCGCTTTCAACGTCGCCGTTTTGTCGGGCGCGCATTTGTCGGGTCACGATTGTAAACATGCAAGAAAATTCACAATCCGCATCCAAACAGCACCAAATTGCAAAAAGGTTATGCTTTTCACCTAAAAACCACCAGTATTTATTGAAATATAACAATATTTGCATAGCAGTTAGCAAAAAATATCATAAAATCAATGGCCTATCCAAAAAATGTCATAAACTGTAAACCGTGCAGGACTTTTTCACACAGCGGTATATACAATGTATACTATATATAGTCAAGATTTGATAGATCTCTATCATGACTCTTTTATTTGCCTATTTTTCAGCAATTCCCTCTGCTTTATACACCAAAGATTTGTTTCAGATTCAGTCTTGGTATTGTTTGATTGCTTACCGTAATTCTTCTTCCAAGCATATTCTTGCAGGTGCAGGATCTGCTTAATTTACATGTCAGGCCTGCAGCCATCTTTTCTTTTGGACCTCAGGCCTGCCACACTTTCTATTATTCTACTATGCATTTTCTATTGTGGGAAAATGGGAGGGGGGATTATACGGAATTGGGTGATATGCAGCCATAACAAAATTATTTCTAAAAAGCCAAGGTCATCCTTTGTCTCTGCACCTGGCCGGAACTGCCAATATGGCAGTGGGAGATTGGACCATGTGATGGACTTGTGGGTGTGGGGACAGGATCTTGAACTTTCAACTGGGTGGGAAAACCGGGAAGCTTTCAGATTCGGGCTTTCCCGGCTGTGCCAACACGGCTCTCTTCATAAATTGGAACTTTGAGCAATACTTACTGATTTACTTTTGGATGCTATTTGGAACCCTGACATTACAATCCGTAACAGCACTAAAATATCATCTTGGGACTGTAGTGATTAGAACTTTACAAAGGACTGTCCTTTATTTCAGAAAGCTATCCTTTACATTTATTTAGTTTATTTATGTTCTTGGTTTTGCTCTTGAACTTTGTTTTTTAAAGCAAAGTTATAAAGATAACTATATTTTTAATTCTTAGGAACCTCTTTCATATTTGTCCTCTTTTTAGGTTTATCTTTTACTTTTTCAAAAGAATATGATCACTGTAATTACCTCACAGCTGAAGTATCTCAGCAGAGAGGACACCTGTTTGTTGATCACCTTTATATTCTGCCCATCTCACTGTCCCAAGTTACTCTGGGTGGCTTACAACAGGGGTTCCCAACCTGTGGGCCAAGGCCCACTATTGGGCTGCATGAGCAGTGGGCATTGGCACTCACTGCCCCACGTGCGTGAACAGCCAAGTGCACATGTCCACCGCTCATACAAACAAACCTGTTTGCATTGCATGCCTGCCTCTCACACAAAGACATCCCCTCTTCCCTCCCTCCCCCCTTGCACCGGGCCACCAACCTGGAAAGGTTGGGGAACACTGGCTTACAATTTAAAAGCATAAATATCAAAACACTATAAACATTAAAATTAAGATAACAATTAGAGAAAAGGTTAAATGCAAGAGCATGGACAGTATGGAAGTGGACTTTCGCCTGTCACTCAATCATCTCCGACATAGTGCAACCACCTGGCAGAGTCTGCCCAACTGGCAGAGCCAGTTTTTAAGGTCCTTCCAGTAGGCCAGAAGAATGGAGATGGAGCTCAATGCCAGAGGCAAGATGTTCCAGAGGGCAGGAGTTACAGGAAAGAAGCTGACAGCTCTTCTCCTTCACCCTGCTAGCTGTAATTCCTTGGCTAACAGGTGAAGAAGTTCTCTTTTGCTGATGCAATGGCCAATCCCATTGGGGTGAGATGATTCCTTAGTTTCCTTTTTCCACTCATTAAGTAATCAAAACCTTTTGAATAAATCTGTCAAAATTGCAGAGATGTCAAATAATAACTTTTCAGTGGTGTGTAGAGATTAATTCTGAATGTCCTTATTCCAAAGAATAATGAAGTTCAATGATGTATAGAAAATTAAATCAATCATTCTCAAAAGATAAATGTGCATCAAATGTCTCTTCCAAAGAAAATTGTTTAGTAGAGAGCTTAAAATAATGCGAATGAATTAAATTCAGGTTAATTGCAGAGGTGGGATCCTATCTGTTTAACAACCAGTTCACTGTGCACGTGTGCATAGTTTATAGAGCAATCACCTTCCACATTACTGCTGGGGAGGAAAACAGCTGAGGTGTGGCAATCCACTCTGCCACACCTATCAGCTGGGCTTCAGAAAAGGGAATATAGGGGAGTATAGTGCAGGGGCAGGCAGGTGGGCGAGCCCAGCTGAAAGTCGGAGCGAACAAGTTTGCTCTCAGCTGATAGTGGTCCGAACCAGTAAAATCCCACTCCTGGTTAATTGTATTTATTTTGTCACAACTACCAAAGGATTTCAGAATATAAGATCTTATTCCATTTGTAGCAAAACCAAAGATAAATTCAAATTTACCCATTGAGAAAGCATTCTAGAAATTGTTACACCAAGATAAAGAATCAGAACAGAGGCTAAAGACAAAGCCATAAACAAAACATAACAGAACTATTACTAAGGGCCAATGTTATTAAATTTGATTTCCTTTACTTATTAGCAGACAAGATATTAAAATATGCTGCTCAAGTTAGAGATAGAAGTTTCCAGATTGTCAGTGAAACATAAGCTGTCATCTACCTGTCTTCCATGTTTGTCTGACTGTGTAAAATACCTTTAATATATTTAGAATAGAACAGAATCAGAATAGCCAGAATAAAAAAAAATGGAATCTTATCTTTGACTTTGACTTGTACTGCACCATACATTTTAAAAAGGAAAAGCACACTACTGGTCACCACAAATATCTGGAGCCATATCAACCACATCTATCCAAAGCTATTACAAATAAAATTGTTTCAGAAACTCAAAAATATTTTTTTTACTGATTATTCCCAATATGGACCTTTTTTTCTTTTCTTTTTGCAACAGGCTTATAGTTTTAAGTTCTTTAAAGTACCCTAATCAGATGGTCCCAACACACCTTCACCTAATCTGCTGATTACTAATGGAAACCATGTGTGTTGAGGAAATATAGGTTGTGATCTGAGTAACCCTTGAAATAGTGATAATTAATAGAGGAGGAGCTATTAAATCAGTTTGGAAAGTCAGAACAGCCACAGCAGATCCATATGCTCAGTTCAGGATGCCATGGCAGTAATCTGAAAAATAGGACATGAGTATCTGATTTTTAAGGACAAATGAAGCACAATCAAGGAACATGTAGATCTGTCTGCTTTTTTGATTGCTTACTTTCATAAAATATGTATAAATCTGCAGTGGAGTCTCCTTTTATTAATAGCACCAATTATTCTAGACTAGATTAGAGAATGTTTTTTTTAGGCAAAAAATCTACTTATCTTGACATCTACTTTGTTCTTTGCATCTAAGGCCAGAGATATTTAAAGCAAACATGTTGCCCTGTATAACATTATAACAAGAACTATATCTCTTTTATATTTTACAGGTATGGTTTAAAAACCGCAGAGCCAAATGGAGGAAGCGGGAAAGAAATCAACAGGCAGAACTTTGTAAGAATAGTTTTGGAGCTCAGTTCAATGGACTGATGCAACCTTATGATGAGATGTATAGTAGTTATTCCTATAATAACTGGGCTACCAAAGGACTTACTGCCGGCACTCTATCAGCAAAGAGCTTCCCATTCTTCAACTCCATGAATGTCAATGCCCTTTCTTCCCAGCCCATGTTCTCAACATCCAGTTCTATAGGGTCTATGTCTGTACCTTCCTCAATGGTTCCTTCAACAGTGACTGGTGTGCCAGGCTCAAGCCTTAACAATCTTAACAGCCCTGGTCTTAACTCTGCAGTTCCATCTAGTACCTGTCCCTATGCATCCACAGCCAATCCTTACATGTATAGGGATACCTGTAACTCAAGCCTGGCTAGCTTGCGATTGAAGGCAAAACAGCATGCCAACTTCACCTATCCAGGAGTGCAGACAGCACCCTCCAGCCTCAGCCCATGCCAGTATGCTGTGGATAGGTCAGTATGAGGATCTCCACTGCTAATTATGAACTATCAGCAGAACCTTTCCCCTGCAGAGGAATTCCAGAAAAGTTGCATTTATAATACTGTTACAAATGTTTTACTATCATTTTTGTAAAGTATATATTTTTACTCACTGAACATACATTTCAGACAGAGGAATTTTTTGCCAAGCTTTGAATTTTCATCCGGTGGTAACAACATACCCAGGGAAATGGTTGACACTGCTCATAATTTATGGTTGCAATTTGTGCTTTATACACCCAACTTCTGCTTACATAAGGAAGTCTAGATTCTGTACTTGAAGTACCAGGTTTGGATTTACTGTATGTATATTTCATAAAAGCTTGTCATGAAATGCCCTGGGTAAAACTTTTGGTTTCCTTTTTAAAAAATAGCATATCATAACAAAAGATTGCCAAAAGTAATTTGATAGAAGGAAATTTATGTGCAGACATGCCATGAGTTATGTGGAAGATCTAGGACAAAGAAACTTATAGATGTGCTCCTATGTATCTCTGGCTACCATGACTGAAATAGAAGCTATCAATTTGTTATCAAAAGAGCACTGATATCTGGAGAAAATAGACAAGTCATCAAACTTGGAACAAAACCACTTGGTGATATAATAGTATTAACTACAGGATACTTATTTAAATGTATAAAACCAATAGGTATGTGGACTATATTTCATTTCCCTGTGCAATTTTATTTTCTACCAAGCAGGAAATATTATTTAGGAGCTATGGTGGTGCAGTGGTTAGAATGCAGTATTGCAAGCTGCCCGCTGCCAGTAGTTCAATTCTGAGTGGCTCTAGGTTGAATTAGCCTTCCATCTTTCCGAGATCAGTAAAACGAGGACCCAGGTTATTGGGGAAAAATACTGAATGCTGTAAAGCACTATGAAGTGGTACATAAGACTAAGTACTATTGCTATTATAAACACATTTTGCAATGACTTAAGTTCCCAAAGACAAACAAGAAAAATGCCCCAAGCATCTCATGCACTTGTGATTATTGCATAAGCAACAAGCACTCCTTGTATGCAACATTCCCTAACTTCTAGAAAAAATTAGGTCTGCAACTGAATAGAAATAATCCATTGAATTGATTCTCTTATCCTTGACCACATGCAGGCAACAACTTCCAATTATTAGTTTCCAGGACAATCCTGACAACCATTTTTTCACTGTTCTTAATTTCATTGAGCTTACAAAAGTAGTACATGTGCCTCTGAATCATACCAATGTTTCTGCAATAATCTGCCACAAGCCAAGTATAGTATAGAAAGAGCTTTAAGAACGTCACTTTATCTCATCCCCAAGTTTGTCCACCAGAATTCCTGAACTTTTCAGAGCTCAGAAATGTACAAATCAAAATTTATAGATGCTAACCAGGACCAACAAAACTGCAGCCTACTGTAGTAAGAATGTATTGTGGGAAGAGGTGAAGGAAGGCATGCTCATCTACAGTAGCTTCCTTTTACTTGACCTTATTGTAACTTATCTCGAGTGGCAAACTGAGAAGTGGGTGGGTACCATTTCATGTTTGGTTTTTGGGTTTTGTTTTGTTTTTTGCTACTCCAATATCCCATTAAACAACTCAAGATGAATGATCCTAAAAAACTGTTAATTTATACTCATAAATTATAATTTTTCTTTAAAAGTTATGTTTTGATGCCAATAACTTTGAGTGCTAGTAGCAGGGCAGACTACATTTTAAAATTTGCATCAGTAGTTTTCTTGAAAACATACATGCTTTCAAAAATATGTTTCTTTTTATCTGTTGGATTGTGTATGACTGTGTGTATATTTCTGTGTGTGATTGTGTCTGTGTATAAACATACGCACAATGGGGAGAGGTCATTTGACATTTTTTAAAATAAAGGTAAATTTAAATTGCATTGTGATTACTGGTATCATGTTCTTCAGAGATGGAAATCAATAGGAAAAATGACAATTAATGCTCATTTTAAAACTCCCAAGCATCTTCCACACACAAAAAAAGTCCTTTTGGTACTGTGTTTGAGTATTTGGAGTAGGACCAGGTTCAAGTGACTGGGGGACAGTGCTATCTCTTTGCCCAGTCTTCCTCCGATTGTTTTGGGCAAAGTATCAATAAAATAATGAGGGAGATTTTTCTAGGAAAGAAGCAATTCCCATTTTATAACCTTTTCTCTTATGTAGAGACATTATTTTTATACACCCTCTTTTCTGAGCCTAGAGGTTAATGAAACAAATATATTTGCTGATTGTATTATCCTGATATTCACAATCTTAATATTTACTTACATAATGACAGCTGCCCATTCAGAGCTGTACCGCTACCCATCTTAGAGATTTTAATGAAATTATTTGGGCTGTATTATTTTTCACACAATTAGAGTTATTATTGGATTACTTTGTTATTTTGTATAGGTTAGACACCTCCTCCATGATCATTTTGCCTTTTCTGTGCAAAAATGCCTTGGTCTATTGAGTGAAATTGGTTCAAATTGATTTTTTAAAATTTCTGACCCTTTTTCAGTAAACCAAGGAAATGGTGCCCCAAAAGAAGTTG